TGGTGAAGCATGTTAATGACAGGAAAAAAAAAAAAAAAGTACAACTAGTGTTTAACAGATGGCAACTGCAGGAGGTGGCAAGATCAACACCAACACACCGAAACACATGAAAATACATATTTTAACAGTCATGCTAATGCTATGGTTACATTTGAAGGTTTTCTGTGAGTCTCTCTTCAATGATATAATGTTTTTGGAGGGGGCGACATCTAGCCAGAGAGGTGAGAGAAAGTGCGGCCTTGTGGTCTGCTATGGTTTCTAATATTGCAGAGGTAGTTCTTCTGCGGCCAAGCAGCACCATGTGACGGTAACTGGATCGCCACACAGCTGCAGCCGCGGGCACCGTCTGTCGTCCCCAAGGCTGCTGGAATAGCGACAAGGCAGCTCCGCACACATGGGCATACAAACACTGTCCATGCACACACCAGTGTATGGAAAAACCCAAATGGTACAGGATGGGGCTAAGTGGGGTGGTGCGGGAGAGAACTCTACCCTGCCTGTTTCAAAGATGTTTTTGAAGCTGTGAAATTTCTAGCCCAACCGAGGCAGGCTCCGTTCCACACAGGGCTGTCTTTTAAAGCGAGGGCTGGTGTGTTTGTTCTTCTGTTAAATGAAGGGTGGCGGTGGGCAGACGGGAACCAAACTACAGTCATTTAGGAATGTCTCTCTCAGAGGGCAGACCAGACACTTGTTCTCTATTAAAACCTTGTTGTTTCTACTTGCTTGGATCACTGTTGCTGTGCATTCATGGAACAACTGGGACAGATTCACTACTTATAATGAAGTAAAGAAAGTGAAGAAAACTAATAAACCTTTGGACTGATTGTGTAGAGTAAAACTGTTATTCTCTTGGTACATAACAAACAGGTGTAAGTGTCTGAGTAGCCTTAAACACTCAAAGCCGCACCAGAATGAGGTATGGGGGGGGCATCCAGCCTTATATTTTTGAATAGGCTGGTGAACTTTTTAACCTCAATTTTCTTACAAAATCTGCTTTGCCTACTTTTTTTGCACAAATATGATAAGAAATGCCACCCTCTTCTCATTATGTTTTTGAACAAGTTTGCGCTTGTTTTTTCTTCATTCTTGACCTAGAAGCACAGCCTGACCAGATTTACTTCGGCTGACTACTCGAGAAATGTGGATTGCGCCTTGTTTGTCCATCAATCAATCATTCATATCAAAAATCGTCGTACTGGATTTCAGACTTTAAAAACGTACACTAAGTTCAAAAAGTAGAGCCGAAAACATATTTTTATAGCACTGTCAAAAAACTGATTAATTATTCTTGGTTCTGTTGTCAAGTGTCTAAATGCATTTCATCATTGGGTGGACAAAAGTTTTATTAATGGTTGGTATTTTAAATCCTGAAAGGCTCCAGGCTAATTTACGATTATAGTTGAAGGTAAAGGCCCCTTTTTTTGTTGGAATGTGTGCTAGTTGTGCCTCACAGACAATGTTGACTTCTAGATACTGAATCTTTTTTTGCGTGGTCATTGTATGGCATCATAATGATTGTGTGCTAACTGAGGTGATGCCATTTAATGAGATGATTTCATTACTGGCATGTATCCACAAATCAAAGCTAGATTGCAGTATCCCCGTCTCAGACACATACAGCTGTAGAGTAACGTTACACCAGTAGCTACCAAACACCAGAGACCACAGGGTGGGACCGGGGAGAATCCAAAGTGTGTGGCAAGTTGGCAGACAGATCAAACGCTCTGCCCTCATACTCAGTGTTGCAGAGACTTTGTTGGAATAAATAGACAGAATACTGCCTGGAGTGTAATGATAACGTACATCAGCACACCAAAGATAGCAGCTTTGCAAATAAACATCCTAACAAATTAAACCAGGAAATTCAGGTATTTGTCCTCGGGGAAAGGGAATTTAGCGTTCTCTTGATTGTGAATGTATACTGCCCAGGAAGAAAGTTTATTAGAGCACTGACACAGCTAACACTGAACAATTTATATTACTGTTTTGAGCAAGTAACACATACAAAATTGTAAGTCATTTTGTGTTATTAAGTGGGTCATTTCCTCCAGTACTTTACCTGAATAATTTATCATCACTGCCAATTAGTTCAGCCAAAAACGTTTTAATATTGTAGCAATTGTATGATTATGTTGATGGCTTTTAAAAAAAATCTTCTTTAGTATATATTGTATAATGTAATTGGTTTATGGATGGAGTAACCCTAAAAGTGATTTAAAAAGGCTGCTAAATGAATTCAATTCAGCAAAACACCTGCAAGTTCATTCAAAAGCAGTGACCACTGACTGTGAATACAATTGATTGGTGTAAATAGTGCTAAAAATAATAAGTTACGTTGGCTTCCTGAGTTTGAGGCCCCTCAATAATCAGCACTGTCAAAACGCCCTGCTATTAGTGACCAAATACCATAGCGTCACCAGTATAATACCAAAACAGTCTTGGAATGAAGACTTTGTTACATTCCAATGTAAATGATACTCTTTAGAGCTTCAGAAGCAGACAATGATTTGAAAAATAATGTGAGCAGGTATTTCTCTTTAAATTCAGTCTCTCATAAAAAAGGGTACTCATCGAACTAGGGAGTACTTTGATACCAAATATCCCATAAAAACACTTTGTAATTCACAAAGCTGCTCTCTCAGAAGGAAACGACCTTGCCACACTGAGACATATCTTCTTATTACACTAGTATTCTGTAATGAAGACAGCTGGCAGGGTGATCATAGGCTTTCCACTGAACCCTGATACTAAATGTTGCTGATGAGCTGTCCAAGGGGAGACTGATACGTAGATCATACCAAACAACTAGAGAGGTCTGACTGCTTTAGCATTCAATCTAAGGGAGGCAGGAGTCCTCTGTAAAACTTAGTTCAGGGAGAATTTACCTTTCCATGCACGTCTGAGTTTGAACACAGCTTGTTTAAACACTGCAAGGCGGTAAAGGACATGAAGTGAATGGGAAAACAGAGATCATTTTTATACTTGTGTTGTATGCAGCAGGAGTGTGATGGCTACACTAGGCCAGGAACAGGCAAGTGGCAGCCAGCTAAAGATGCCAATGCTTATGGTTATCCAATAGAGAAGGGAGAGGATAGAACATACATTAACAGGATGGAGGTCAAGTAAAAGAAGCTGGTACTCATGTATCCTGTTGGCTAGTTCTTTGTTAATATCTCCCCCACAGGCCAACTCTTCTCTTTATTTCCCCCCATCTTTTAAATCCCTGCTGATATGAGTCTGTACGATGAAAATATGAAGATCAGAGCTACAAGGGAACGCCAAAGCAAAGCTTTTCTACCCTGAACATGGTGAAATCAATCCTGCTGAAATGGAAATGAGGCACAACGAGAGAATCAAGAGCATGAGCGCCAGAGGTGGGCGACAAAAAGCTGAGGGGTGGGGGAGGAGAAGGGTTTGGGCTGTTACTAATTCAAAAACATGTTTCAACCTGTTGAAAATGCCTAGTCGGCAAACTGGCCTTGATCCAATAACCCCCCACATGTCCTCTTTCTTCCATACTCTCCCTTAGCTCACAAAGTGAACATGTTAATAAACTGGTGATTGTAGATTGAATCAAACCAAAGAGCACAGAACAATAAAGCTAATCTGCCTGTCGCTAGCAGAGTCTTAACAAGGACAGGGGACGTGCATTACATTTTTAGAGCGGGTCGCTATCTATTAAGCCGCCACACATCACGTCTAAGGACACTCCAGAATGAAGCATGGGGAACTGGATAAATGAGCTTCTCCACCAGTTTTGCCGGGGGGTAAATTGATTTACATCCTCTGTGTTATTCTTCACAGAAGTCATTATCACCCCTTTGTGACTGATGCTCATCTTTTTATCATCATAGGCAAAATGGTAATTTGCTCTCTTTTTTTTCAATGTGGTAAAATCACTGCAGATGGTGTACATAAAAAAATACAATGGCATAATGTCAGTGCGTTCAGGCTCACAACCTCATCTTCCTTTAGTTCCGATCTCCCCTCTTTGTCTGTCTGTGGAAAGACGGGGAGAAAGGCATTCTGATATGCTGGTAGATACACACAGAGCGGCGCGCTATCACCTCTGTGTTGACGCCACAAGGTCCAGAGTTGTCAAAAGTATCTGACCCCCATCTGAGCAAGATAACTACACAGAACAAAAAAAAGCAGGAGGAGAGAAAAAATGGAAAGTGGATAAAGATCAAATGCGTGTTCAAACAAACTCAGCCAGCATCAGGCCCGTCGTACAATAAAGAACAATGTTGCCTAGGCAACGCTGGCACCCACCCATTCCCCCTTTGGTGAATCTTTCCCATCTTCTCTCATTGTGTTGGGGTGATGAAACGAAACTCTATGAAATATTAAACAGTGTGTCATATGATGAATACATTTGAGGTTGTACAATCATAGTGATAGACTACACTCTGACAAAATGTCAACAATAGAGTTTAACAATAAATAATGAATACATATATGTTGGCAAAATAAAAATAAATTGCTAGAAACAACAAATGCAGATAAATCAGAGCTTTATATTGTTTCAGCAATTACAGTTTTATTGTGTGAATATCTTTACTTTCAAATGTCTTCTTTACCTTATGATCCTTCTTCCAGCGGTAGTTTTTTTGTGAGAAAAAGAGAGATTTTTTTCTTTTTGCCAGATCTGGTTTGTTTTTACACCCTAATGCCCGAGAGTATTGCAAAGATCAGCCAACCAGATCTACACTTTGATTTAAAAAAATCAATGCACAAAGTAAAAAAAGAGCAGAAGTTCAAACAATACTTGACTTTTTTATAGACTTTGTTTCATGGCTTTTCTTTCTTCTTGCAGGAAAAGAGAATATAATATGATTGATGTGAAAGCTTCAAGGCAGAATGGTTCAGTGTGTTTTAACGCTGACGAGAGGAGAATAAAAAAGGGTTCATTTTTTCAAGTGTTTCAAATAGTCAACAGGCATAGAAATCTATTAATCAAGGACATATATACGACAAGTATAATTCGTACATATTTTTAATGATATTTCAAATGTAGCTAAATAGTTCTTTATGACAAATTTAAAAAAGTTATACAAAGGCTGTGATTTATATTCTTGAATGTGTTAATATATACTTCACAACCACCCCTTATCAAAACATTTTATACAACAGGCAATTATTATATTTCACTCAACATCAATTCTTAGTCTGCATATTACCAGAGTGCATTGCCCTGCTTTCTGTTTGCCCGTCAGGCCCTTAGCAGAGCCTCCACTGAGAAAGGTAATGGCCTCACAGCGGGGGTCCTGACTGAGCTGCCATTAGAGCTCTTGACAGGGTCGCCATGAGGAGCTGTCTGGTCTGCGGGGGGGTCTGCACACCACCCCTTAGCTGTCAGAGGTCTGGGATCAAAAGTCCTGCTGGGTGCACTGACGTCTGGCCTGACCACGATACCGTGATCAGATCCAAAAAAGGAGCGTGTGAGGTGTGAACAGCCATTTGAGTCCATTATTTCTATTGGTTTTGAGGAGGATTTGACAGGATCTAGACCTGACACGGTGCTGCCATGATGTTTGAGTCTTCGAGATGTTAGAGGCGTCAGCTCTAGACTGTCTTTCTTCTCACAACCTCTACAGCTGTTCTGCACCTCCTCATCCTCCCTGGTTTGCTCTGAGTATAAGAAGTTGTTATAGTCTTCTGCAGCAGACATGCTTTTTAGGTGAAGGAACTGATAGAACTGGAAGTCACACTCATACAGAGGCTTGTATTTGTACACAGGCACGTAACTGGACGACCCTGCAGAGGTGGGGTCTTTGTTGAGAAGACAACAGTGGAGGCTGGGGGAGGCAGGCAGGGGCGGTGGGCGAAGCATGGGGGTAAGGGCAGCGGAGGAGGAGAGGGAAAGTTCGCTCTGCAGCTCTCTCTGCCTCAGCTCCCGCTCCAGCATCACATTCTCCAGCTCCTTGTCTGCGAAGGCTCTCCTCTTCCTCATCCGGGCGCTCATCGAGGGGCACGTAGGGAGGGTTTGGCCCCCCGGTGTCTGCTTCGACCAGCAGGAGGTGTAGTCCTCCACTGGCACTGCCGGTTTGAACCCTGCACAGAAAGCAAAGCCTCATGCTGTTGTCATTTTTTGTTGTCATATTTCATTAATGAATTAATAGTTGTTCCAACAAATTAATTATTATGTTTTCGCTTGAGTACTTTGTTCTTTATAATTTAAATTAGTCAGCGTTGTCCTTTTTGTTTTAATGGCAGGCTGTGAGGGCTATAAAGAAGACAAAGCCTGTTGCAGGATTTGACTGCATGCCAGCAGGTAATAATACACACTATGTATTACAGTAATGGGCCTGTTGTTGTGAACTAGTGAAGCCACAGTGATCTGTCTTGCTTACATCAATCAAGTGTGTGTAATGCTGGGTTATGACATCCAAGAAGAAGCACTGGCAGTGTGGGCCATAGCAGGGCTTTAAAATGCAGCTGCAGTTACACATATACGCTTGTGTGAATGTATGTGTGTCTACCTGTGTGAACACATCTGTTTGTTTAGGGACATTGTGGGGATGCAGCTTTTCCCAACAAAGTCCACATCTTTTTTTTTGGGTTAAGACATGGTTTCTGGATGAAGTTAGATCAGGCTTAAGCTATAGGACAAAGATTGGGGCTGTATGTGGACGGGTTACAGTTAATGTTAAGGTAGTTCCCCAGCCAGATAATCAGTGTCCTAACAAATCCTAACACATATTTATCTGATTTATATAGTTTTTTTCTGTAATTGTGCCATACCTCTAACAAAGGCTACTTTTAGTGTTGCATTTGAGAAAAATATGCAATAAAAGTATAATATTATCATTTTTAATATTACACAATTATTTTATATTGCAACATATCTTACAATAAATAAAGAGTTGTGTACTCAGTCTTGCCTTTCATTTTTACAAATATTATTTTCAGACCAAATTAAACATTGAAATGAACTGGTACTTATACCAATGAGTAGGCCTACAACATTGCAGTTGACATTAAGATGACGATGTAAATGTTTTTGTACCAATCACAACGCACACAAGGCATGGTCAGCAAGAAGTGAATAATTTCCTTCACTGAAATATTGTTAATCAATTTAGGATCTTGCATGAATTCAAGATATATTTTATATATATATTATCACAGTAAAAAGGAGAGGAGATGTTAAAATATACCCAGCAGGATGCTCTTAGCCAGTATGCTCGGTTCGGCTGCTCTCGTGTAGCGCTGATACGCAGTCCTCCTCAACGGACCTGCACACCTTACCCCCCTCTTACCCTGCGAGAAACATGGGAACAGGAATTAGACATTGGATCATGATATTACACTGAGGCTGTGCTCCAAAGGTTAGTAAAGATAATTCATACTTTATGTAAGCGATGTGTATAGCTCTTTGAAAGTGTAAGATTTAATAATACGTGAGATTCACCCTCATTAGGTGTAAATGTTAAGTCTTTTTTATTAAGAAGAGCATGAATTGGCCCTTTTGATTTAAACTATCCATCTTTATATATTATTTTAATATGGTATAGTTATACATTATTATTAAAATGTCACATTTTGCCTTCAGGTGTAAATGCAGACAGAATGCAAATTGCTGTTGCAGTAAACCTTATAACTGCAAGGAAATTATTAAAAACAAAAATACACTCAAGACAATCCTTTCTTTGGGGGATGTTTAAAGATTTACTTATTAATGTTTTTTTTATTTGTTCATTTTGATGGCTCCTTTGTGCTTGTGTGTGTGTGTGTGTGTGTGTGTGTGTGTGTGTGTGTGTGTGTGTGTGTGTGTGTGTGTGTGTGTGTGTGGTAAAAAATCTGATCAATTTTGGACAAAAAAAATGTTTTCTTTAATATAAAAGCTTAAAAAACAACAACACGTGCTTTACTTTATAGCTCTTATCGACAATTGTTTGTATTGAGTTCTGTCACACATTGTTTTTGGAAATATATATAATAGTAATAATTGTGTAAAATCAACATTGCATATTTATTTTAACCATTTTTCCAAACGTGTACAAAAGTTTCGTTATTGCTATGTATTATTTAATAACAATAGCTATATTCTGACCTGTATTCTACCATCATGCATGAGCCATCCAACGTAGGCTACTTTAGTTAATTATTAATTCATCATTAATCCCCCCCTACTCTGATTTTAACCCTCAATTATCACTCTTTAATAATTTGTCTCTTGATGATCATCGACTTAAGCTTTAACCATCTGTTAGTTCTCCAGCATGTCTCCATCACCCACCTGCTCTTGTGCGCCCCTCACCTCCGCGGCTTGCTGCCTCCTCAGAGCGACCTGTGCCGCCATGACTCTCTGCCGCTCCACCACCAGCAGGCAGCAGGGACAGCGACAATCCCTCCAGCGGCAGAAGCGTTTGTGGCCTTTCAAACACGAAACGACGCCGTGGTTCCGACAGCGGGCACACTTGGGGCTCCGGGTCATCTTGCGTGGTTTCTGCTGATGGCCCTCCGGAGACAGCGCCACTTCCTTTCTGTCCCCGTGGCAGCTGCGCCGCTCCGCGCATCCGTCAGAGCTTGTCACGTCAACTTCTTCTTTGGATTTAAGTTCTTCAAGTTTTGCAGTATTCTCCAGCTGCAGGCCTCCTTCCAACTGAGAGGACATCTATGAGTAATAACACCGGAATCTCACTTTTAATCCGTGGAGCACGACGTTTCTTCTGACGCAGGGCAACAAGATGAAAAGGGTTTCGAAACTTAAGTAATGCTAAGCCAATTTTGATTGTTAGCCTACTTAATCAAACTAATTAACTCTAAAAATAATCACTCGAAGAAAGAGGATGAATCACAACTGGTCTTGTTTTACGCATACAATTCAAACTGTGCTGCACTGAAACGTAGATTCAACAGGTTGAAGTAAATCAGTTTACATCGGATGAACACGACGCATAAGAGTATGGTTCCGGGTTTAGAGTCTGTGCCCCTCAACTTGACATCATATTGATTCCCGATGATCACCAAGCCGTGAGGTGTGCTGTCCTGCCTGTTGCTGCAACATCACGTTGTTTTCAGGTTGGAAACTTTGCAGCATACCGCCAGAAGTTTGAAGTGTCTCACCTCTCTCAGCTGCTCGCTGACGCTCTTTCCAAGAATAAGCTCATAGTAGACCGGGCCACAATGCAGACCTCATGGGGAAGGACCCGTGACCAAAGATTTAGAGGAAGCCCGTTTGTTGCAAATGCAACTCCCTCTCCCGTTTAAACCATACCTGCCCTGCACGGCCCACCTTCAAAGTTGTATTCAGATTTCCAAATATCTTGCCAGTTCCAAATCTCCTTATTATTATAGGCGAGATCCCCATTTATGTAAGCAGTAGACCTATGCCAAAAAGTATTTATTTAATTAATTGGCAACATTCCTAAACAGAATTCAACAATTTACACATATTAACAAGAGTAGTACATTCTCCACTACAATTCATGATTATAATCGTTTTTTGTTATAATCGTTATTAGTGGAATAATTCAGAGATTGGCATGGAGGGTTAAAGAGAAGGCTCACTCTAAAACATAAAATTACATGTTGTGCCCGTTAGGCTGCATAATGTGTTAATTGTGTGTTTTACCAGACTGATACAATATGGAGTAATTATGCACGTGCCTTGGGGAGAATAGCCTGGTTGGGAAATGAAAGGCAGTCAGGCAGACATAGCAACGGAGAGAGAATTACATTTTGATAATACCTGGGAGTCTTCACACTCATTTATTAATGTTACTTTTAAATAATTCAATGATTTAATGGGTCTCTTGATGTTTCTAGTGTCACCATTTCTGTGCCTAACAGAATAATTAAAACCACTGAAATACATAAAACATCCCCCTGAAAGCTTTTGTAGGCATGTGTTTTTAACACTGGTTCACTTGGAGTGAATTTCTATAATTCTCACCTTTCTGAAAATTAATGCAATACTGATCTCAGGTAACTCTTATGTGATGCAAAATACTCTGTTATTAATACTTTTCTTAATGTACTATTAAGACAGGCTTCTTTTCTCGTCCTTAGACTGTGTAGGGTCAATAATGCAAACAGTGATTTTCATTGTGGTGATATGCTGCACTCACTTCCTCTTCAGTGTCCACTGAATGTCAATACAGCACAGTTTAGTATTCTGTTTGAAAATGACTGATGTTTCCATTACCCAAAATACAGCGCCGTAGAATCCACTGGGATGGTATGAAAAGTGTGCTCCCTACTGGTTCAATCCTGTAGTTACACCCAGGGTATTTCTTCCAAGTGATATCCATTTGTATAACCTTCCAAGGCCACAGGCATTCAAGTAATTTGTTAGTCAGATTTCCACAATTTCGCCAAATTAGAAAAATACACATAGGCTACATTTGCTCTCCTCGCAGGGCCTTTAAATATATATATATTCACAATAAATGTAATTTGCATTCATATTTATATACATACACACTCACACATACAGTTTATCCATCTGTATGTATCCATATATATATATATATACATACTTAGATTATATCCATGTGTAATATATGTGCTATTACTGAGAGACATATTTACTGTGTTTGAAAAAAATAAAATGTCATGATGCCTAAACCAACATAAAAGCCAACCAAAGGTGTACAAGTTTAGTCCTTGAGTTGTAAATAATATGTGTACATTTCTTTATATATGTATATATATATATATATACAGTCTATGGTACATTTACAACACTGTTTACCTGTTTATACCCTAAGTATCTCAGGCTCATGGTCTGAGATGGCAAAGGACCAGTCCATTTTGGTCATGATCCGAGGATAAACACTGGCCAGAAGTGCCCTGCCGGCAGATTTCAATATGTTTTCAGCTCATAAAAAGTTAAAAAGATAAAACGTTAGACATGTAGGAAGGATAGCCAGAGCCAGCTGTGCTTCAGAATATATAAACAAGTCAGTCAATGGATAGCTATATTTTGATAATTTAACAATTGACTGGTATTTAAAGAGCATCTTGCAGGTTTTTTTTTTTTCTACATTTATGCTTAAACTTGCTTGAAAATTACAATTAAAAAAGTGAATGTAGGATTTGATATGTTTTACGAGACATAAGGGCAGGAATTCAGAGGGAAAGGAGCAATTTTGAGCTCGGCTCTTAAAAACGGCTTTTTTTTAAGGTCGTACGTCGAACGAGTACATCACAAAGGGTAAACATCTCCGCTCTCTGACCGCGGGTATAGTTAGTAGTTGCGTTGATTTGAGCGGTTGTGTTTTAGTGAGCTGGTATTTTTCGGTAGTTTTACATTGTATTTCACCATTTGTAATCATGGTGCAGTATTGTGTTTGTGCAGGTTGCACAAATACCAGCCTGTCAGGACGCCCGTAAGACGTAGTGTGGAGTTGCATTATGTAACGCTGTGGTGGCTGTACTGCTCCAGCCGTCTCCTTTGTGTTTGTTTGTTTCCCCCTGTCTGTGTTGTTTGTGTGTGCGTGGTGGCTGTCACTCCCGGCTCAACCTCCACTCACCTGCTGCAATCAGCTGTGCACCCTCCCCGACTACACACCTGCTTTCCATCAAGCCATTTACAAACGGCATAATCAACGGAGTCTCACAACCTTTTTCGCCAGATCGTCAAGTATCAGCCGGTATCTTGCGTTTCTTCCCCTCGTTCACCCGCACCGTAGTGTGGAGTTGCATTAGTAAACGCGAGTTGATAACGGCTGATCCTTGCGCATTAGTTCTGTGTTAATGGATCAGTATTCAACTAGTCCTGCGAGTAGTACGTTACTACTATTTATCAATGCTACTTTAGTTATAGCCTGTATAATGATAAGCTAACTTCACAATGTTGCTGATTATGACGTTAGCTTAACATTCTGTCAAGCTAACGCCGGTCCACTCACCTCGAAGATAGGCTTGGCGCCGTTCTCCCACTGGTTCTCTGCACCACCACAGCTTCAATTTCTCTTCGATGGCCGTTATTTCTTCTAATTCCTTGGCTGCTCCTGGTCTCTTGGATGCCTAGCAGGCTCATAATTATAAGGTGTATGTGGTCCGTCATATGTGCATTCGAATATTCATGTTCAACTTCTTCTGTGTCTTCTGATGTGAACTAGCAGTTGGGATCCAGTTTAATTAATACGTTACACCGGCCGGCTCTCCCCTTTTTCCCCCATGTTACGTCCACACCGGGGAGGTTCACGTGCCCGAGCTTTTTTATGCGGGAGAAGAACATTTCTTTCAAAACGACGCCAGACCGTCACTGTGTGTATATTCTGTATTTATTTTTTGGAAAAATCTAGTGTATTCATATTTTCCTAGCACATTTATTCAAAGTGTATTTAACCGTGGAGTTGCTCTTTAGTAAGTACCTTCCAAGAGATGTAAAATCAAGTTAAAAGCCACTGCTGTCTTTACTTTTGTGCAACAGGAAACCTTTAGGATATATAGCCTGAGGGATGTAATTGTTAAGGAGCCGACTTGGGTCCACCCCACCAGGTCGTCCCACGCTTTAAAATAACTGAGAGCCATTTTACTCCCTTTCAGGTGAGCAGGCAGCTGGGCTAACCCCATATTGCCAAGGAAAGGACGATGGCAATCTAAGGAAGCAAGGAAGGGCAATATCAAAGCAAGCTTTTCCAGGCTATCAGTTTCCAGGGGAATGGTAATAACAAAGGCATATTTCACACCACAACACGTCCAGAATTACTCACAAATGAAACAAAAAAAACACATGATGTCTTGCACACAAGGTCTAAGACCATC